AGTGATATTCAAAGATATCAGGAGGTGATTAGTTTTTATTTGATGGTTTATTATATTATACAACCGTTCTGGATTAATAATAGAGGTTAGTTTTAAATTTAAAACTTTCAAGCATTAGTGGAGAGCAGAACTCAATAAAACAGGCATTGAAATATAAAATCTTAAAATCTCTGCTCGCTTTAAATATAGTTTACTTAAGAATAAACAATAAAATATATATATAAAAAGACAAAAAACAAAAACAATCTTTTATATCAGCGAAAACTTAATCAGCTTTCAAAGAAAATCAATCTAAACAATACGACATACGTCGTTCTACATCCCGCTGTTCCAGTGGGTGGAGCTGGTTCATGAGCTCAAACAGATCAGTGGTTTTCCGCAGCTTTGTAGATTTTTTTTTTTCTGTGTCCTGTCTGGCTGTGAAGCAAACAGAATTGATGTCTGAATGCTGGTAACAAGCCTTACAGATTTACTCTCAGGTGGAGCATCAAAGCATCTGCTTTTAATGTCACGCCTGATACTTAAAACTTTATTGTTATTGTTTTTGAATGCTTTGTAATTCCAACCAGACACGGAGTCAGAGGTGAAAAAGAAAGGAAAAGACAAAAGGTGGGGAGAGAGGGGGGAAGGGGGTGGGGGGTTCCACAAAAATAAACAATAATGAACAAGAGTCTGCTTCTAGACCTGCAGAAAGAGACAAGAAAAAAAGCAAAAGAACAAAAAAAACTGGGACACAACAACAATACAACAAGATCAAGCTATCACTGCGTCAACTTGATGAAGAAATATATAATCAACATTGTTTAACTGAACAATCACACGATAATAAATCACAGTGCATTAAGTGCCCACCATAGCCTTAAGACCTGTATTGAACATGCCCAAGTCCATTCTTATGGGAGCACCATGTGAGCACCTGTGTGTGTACACACACTTGTTTATGTAAGGTTTCTCTTTAGGAGCATCTAATAGAGAGTGTGAGGGAACACAGATCTGCCCCCTAAACATGTGAAAGGAGACGGGGGGAGCTCCAAGTCCCAGAGATCCAGGAGTTGCCCCAGAGCAAAGGAACTCCAGGGAGACTGCAACAGAAAAGCCCTCACTCCTCTCGAGAGGCGCAGAGGATCGCCCCGAAGGGCCACAACTAGCAGCCGGCTGAGTCCTAGGAGATATCGGCGACAAGCCCACAGGCCCGCCCGCAGCCTCCCACCCCCTAGCCGGCCGAGCCCGGGACCCAGCGACCCGGGACCCAGGGGCGACCACCCCTGCCGTGGACCCAGCAGAGCCCAGGGACCCAGACCCCACCAGGCAGCCACCGGGATTGATCAGGCAGATGCCAAAAATCTTAAACCCCCTGACCCGGGAGCCACGGACACTCAGGCAGACCAAGGCACCACACCCCACACCAGGTGTGGCAGGAGTAGGGGGGACGAAGATCTATATCATCAAAAGAAGTCCCAGGAGAAGGGAGGAGTCAAAGGCCCCACCTGACATATACAGTCATACACAAACACAGTCACACACTCCCTCCCTCATGCTCACACATGCACATACAACCCAAGACTTACAAAAATGCACGCCGGACACCCACTCATGCTCCCCATACACACCCCATTCACTCTGGTCCCGGTACTGCTGCACATTGGGTACAACCATCACCGGTTACCAGAGTTTGATCCTTTCTGCTGGGGTGCTGATGAGCAGGCTCCCCCGCCCAGCGCTGAGCACAGCAACCCACCACCCCAGACCCCAACCAGATGGCCAGATCTCCCTCCTAGCCTCCAGCCCCAAGAAGCCAAGCAACAACAGAGGTGGCTAAGACCCCTAGTCTCCCTCCACCTGCTCCAATATGGTGTTGTGTGTTCATGAGGTGTATTCCATGGCTGAGGTGAGCGGGCAGTGCGGGCATTGTCTGGCCAGCTGATGCCACCGCACCACCCCACTTGCACCCACAGCCCTCGGTGTCTAAGTGCAGTTTAAAATTGGAAGTGGGCACCGGCACCCGGGAGGAGGCTGAGACATCCCCTTGCCAAGTGCCGTTGAATGTGCTCACTCCCAAGGCCCTAAGTGTGTGTTTGCGTGGAATGTCATCGGTGGAAGTGTATAAGGTGCAAATAAAATTGGGGGGCAGGTTGCCACAGGAATGCGGAAAGGGGGTCCATGCCCGCACTCCCTGACTTGTCCACCCCCCAAGGTCCTATGTGTATGTTTGTGTGATGATGTGAGGGAGCAGGAGGAGAGAAATATGTGGAGATGGGGAGGAATGGCTGGTTGGGCTTAGCCCTCCAGGGAGCCAGCTCCCCTACTGGCCCCAATAGGCACCTCTGTTGTCAAATTGCCACCCAGGGCATGGAGACCCCAGCACATCCTGCCAGGGCCCAAAGCAGCAGCATTACAGAGCCTCACGGAGTCTGAGGGCACCAACCCAGCCCCACCCCAGCAGAATATCTATGCCCATCCCTGCATTTGCACAACTTCCAGAATATATAAGACATGGGACATCCAGTTAAGGTTGGGTCCTCCCCCTCCTGGACCTCCCCCTCCCCTGTGATGGGACAGCAGAGGAGCCAAGGTCTACCTGAGGCCCCTGAACCCGGGCCAGGCACTGCTGCATGTTCCTGCCTTCTTCCCGGCAGCATATATGTCAGGACCGGACCCCCAAGGTCCCGCTCAGATCCCCACATGGGGCCGGCCACCCCCAAACCCTGAGCTCCCAGGCCCCCATCCAGACCTGCCCAGGGGCAATGCAGCTGCCAGGCAGTGACCCATGGCCGCCGCCAAGACCTCCAAGGGGCCCCACTCACAACCACCAGAAGTCCACCCCCGAGGCAACCCAAGCACCTCCAGAGGGGGGCAATGGCCCCCCAGTCCCAGACACCCCCAGTGAACCCACCTCCAGGGAAGATCCGGATACTCCAAACTCAGACCCCCCACCCCCCCACCCACATCATCCCGCAGGACAACATCAACGGTCCCCCATCCTCGCTATGTGATGGAACCGATCAAAGGAGCCCAGAGAGATTGATTTGAAGTGGAAGCAGAGGCTAAATCAAGTGTAATATGATCTAAAAAAAAGATTTCTATACTGGTTAATGCAGAGAGTTTCTCTATTTTTCCAATTCAAGAGGATAATTTTCTTAGCGATGCATATGGCAGTCAGAACCACATGAACCAAAGATGTTTCAATCGGGACATTGTCCAGGTTTCCCAGTAAACAAAGAGAGGGGGTTGTTGGGATATGACATTTCAGAGACTTTGACAGGTCTTCACACCCTCGACCCCAAAATTCCTGGACAGGTGGACAGGACCACAGTGCATGAATGTAATTGTCAGGAACATTGTTTGTGCAGTGTGTAAAGGTGTCAGACGACACAAACCCCATCTTGAACATCCGATGACTTGTATAGTGTACTCTGTGTAGAATTTTGTACTGAATTAATTGTAAATTGGGGTGTCTGATCATTTTAAAAGTTTTAAAACAAGCTTGGGACCAGAAGATCTGGTCAAAGCTGACTGATAGATCCACCTCCCATTTTTCAATAGGGATTGATATTCTATCGTCTATCTTGGACAGTGTCTTATATACTTTATAGACAGTAGTTTTGGGGGGGGGGGGGGGGGGGGGGTTGAGATTATAGAAGTCTAATACCCTTAGTGGTGTTTGTAATTCTATTTTATTGAGCTTAAATTTTTGTTTGACTACAGATTTAATTTGGTGGTATTCTAAAAAGCTTTTCTTATCTATTCCAAATTGGCAGACTATTCTATTAAATGGGATGAAGTCCAATCCTTCCTATATGTGTTCCAGGTATAGGATTCCTTTATTTTTCCAGTCCGGAAGGATCATCATTTTATTATTTTGCTAAATATCAGGATTATTCCAGATAGGTGTGCGTCTGCATGGTACTAGTGAAGACTCTTGTCATTTTAAGATACTCCCACCATGCTGTCAGAGAGGTGCTGATACTAATACTTTTGAAGCCTTCATGTTTTCTTATGCTTAAGCCAATAAATGGTAAGTCTGAAAGCTCTATCGTATTGCAAAGTGTCTGTTATATGTCTAACCAAGACTCATCTAATGGGTTATCTTGCAACCATCTTGGTATATATTGCAGCCTGTTGGCTAAGACCCCCCCCCCCCCCCCCCCCCCCCCCATCTTTTGTCTCTTCCTTTCTCTATCACCTCTGTCTCCGTGTCTGGTCGGAATTAAAAAGCATTCAAAAACAATAAAAAAGTTTAAAAAATTAAAAATTAAAAGAGTATGAAATATTATAGCATTGTTAAAACTTCCTAATGTTAAATTTATGGAAAAAAAAAATAAATTAAGGCGTGAGCATGAAATGGTGATGATTAAACTCCTTCCACAACAAATTTGAACTCAGTTTATTTAAAATTAAATGCTTTACAGCCATTTTGTTTTCTAAGATCGGCTGGCTTTTTTACCCAAAAATGGTATTACCCCAGTTTCTTCAAACCAGTCACCAAACCTGCTTTTCCTCACGAGTGTTATGAGCAGCCCTTGTAGCGCATTATTAAAACGATTGATGGACATGAAAAGAAACACATCATAAATGGATTACTATGACAAAGGTCCACAAAGCTCATTACCTCTCTGTCTCACAAAAACATTAAAAAAAACTTCACAAACACATAAACCCTTCAAGCGTCAAAGATAACCGCTCTCGCCCTCTATCCACCAGAATGCAATTAACTATTATGAGGCCCTCTATAATCTGCTGTGTTCATTTTTTTCCTTTTAAACGCAGGGGCTTATCTTGGTACACCAAACACTGGTTCCATCCCCTGGCAATGGGGAAAACAACGTCAAAGTCATCAAATCCTTTCTAAAAGGAAAACTGCAACGAAGGGCGAGTCAAAGAGCGGTAAAAGAGAAAATGTTTGACGTTTTTCAAGCATGAAAAAAAAGCTTTATTTCTCTAATATTCTAATTAGAGGCCATAAAATTTTATTTTTAGTCATAAAATGGACCATCACTTACCATCACTGCCTTGGCTCCCTTCTCTTTTCAGCATCTGAACTGCACCAACATATTTCTTCAGCTGGACCTTCAGGACTTCATTTTCTCTGAAAAATAAACCCAAAGTTCAATTTTAAGGGGTCTACATAATAACCATACATTCTTTTTCTTCTTTTATTAAACAGCCCAGATGTAATTTCTGCCTTCAGAGATGGCCTGGTTACAAGTGAAGCTTTATTCCCAGAAACAAGTTCACAAGCGGTACATTTTCTATCCAACAAGTGTAAAAGCAGTATTGAGCCAGCTGTTTACGCTGTATTCCAACAGCAGGTTTTGGGCGTACGAATCTTCTCGTGACATCCCGCCACCTGTGAAGTGATGAAAATAAAAACATTTGGACTCTAATTCAGATGTCTGACGTCTGAGAGCTTTGGATCTAGAAGGTAACGTGACGACTCGTAGTTAACCTCTGCATGTGGATCCAAGCAGCAAGCAAACAGGTGGTAGGCACAGCAGTACAACATACTGCAGATAACATTTCCTGACATATTTGTGGCTTTCATTACTTTTAGACACTTAGTTGCAAAGAAAGTCATTTACAGAATTAGGGAATGAAACAACAACAAACTGGTGACTGTCAAAGACCTCATAAACATCAACTACACTTTTAAAAATTGGCACTTCACACGTTTATTCTGAACTGATGAAACTGGAGATTTAATCCCACTAGCGTGTCATGGGTGGACCAGAGGGCCTCCTGCTGGCAGGATGCCTAAAACTAGGGATGCAATGATACCACTTTTTTCCTATCCGATACGATACCGATACTTGGATCTGAGTACTTGTCGATACCGATACTTCTACCACACAAAAAAAATGCAATGAATTGGAATACAGGTTTTATTTTCTTCTCTGCTTTCAACAGGAAAATGCTGTGAGGCATATAAAAGATAAAATATATATATGAATTGAAATCATAACAAAACTAAAATATTAAGTGGACAGAAATGACAAGTTACAGTGAAGCCACTTTCAAGCAACTGCATTGGTATTGGTTCCTGTTATCAGTTAACTTTTACTGATACCGATACTGGTATGGGTATCGGTGCATGCCAACCTAAAACACCTCCTCTGTGAGATGTCCAGGAGGCTCTTAGATCCTCCCGATGAAGAGGAGTAGCGACTCTACTCCGAGTCTTTCTGAATGTCCGAGCTCCTCGGGCTCTCTCTAAGGCTGAGCCTTAATGAGGAAACTCATTTTGGCTGCTTGTTTCATTTCATTTAACTCCATCTACTCATAACAGAACATTCTGAGAAAAACAAGTTAGTCTTCACCGTTTTGCATGGCCATTTGTGTCATTTGTGTGTATTAACTCCACTTTGGTGTGCACTACATAAGTATGTAAACATGTGATTAATGTGTCTGCAAAGGTTTTGCAGAACCACATGGACGTTTTCTGGCTCAAGACTCTATTCTCTTTGTTACTTTGTTGAATGTAAAATGGCTACAAAGAAAAATCAAACATTTTTGGAAGGAGAAAAAAAAGTCCACAGGCTGAAAATATTTTTATGACTGTGCCAAATACATAAAAGTTCTATGTAATGAAAGTCTGATTCAAAGTCTCTTTCATGTATTCAGAGAAGCAGCAGGTGCATTTGAACCTCCGCTGGGACCACGGCCAAAACCAGAATTCAATGTTCAATATCTCACAAATGCATTTTAAGAGCACTTGAATGTAAATGTGTGTGCCGGACAGCGAGCTAGGACACAGACATATTGATGAAGGAGCACGGGCGGAAGCGGCCTCTTTACAAAAGGCTCAACTGGCTGAACTTCATTGACTTGAAGATTGAATCAATCATGGACGCGGAGCAGCTTTCTGCCCTTGGCAGTTAAATTTAACAGCCTTTGTCTTGCTCCGCTGTTGCTTTAAACCACCCCCCACCCAACCACTCTCTCTCCAGCTGAAATCTGCTGCCCTGCTTATCAAACTCCTTTCAGCAGTAACAAAAGAGACGCTCGGCAGGAGCCCTCCAGAATCCACACGACAAGCTCTCAGCGGAGCTATCCGCACCGTTATCAGAACCACCCACCCCCCAGCGCTCTCCCAGCCTGATTAAATTATACCTAATACGTGTGATTGTGTGAGCGCTTGTAGAGATGTGTTCAGCACCATCTCATTTCACTGACAGCGAGTTTGCTGTGGATAATTTAAAGCCACAGGTAGACCACAAGGTCTGGGCTTGTAACAGATACCATATACAACAACTCCAACTCCAAAATATTAACATTTGGAGTGTCTGCTACAAAAAACATTTCTGCCACTGTTGTTGTTATTTTTAACAAACAACATTTATGTTGCTAAGCTAACAGATGGAGCTGCTGAAAATACCTGGTTCTCATCAGCTGCTCCGCCAGTCGTTCTACCTCTCTACCCAACAGTTCGTCTGGAAAAACATCCAGCCTTCCCAGTTATTAACGCTTTCTTTCTCCTGTTCCTCTATCATTCGTCTACCTCTCATTCCCGTTTCCTTCTCTTTTTTCCTTTACATTCTTTCTATTTTTTCCTCTTTCTTTTTTTTACTTTTTTGTTTTCCTTTAACCTCTTGCCTTCTTCTTCATTTCCTTCCTATTTTGTCTCCTACATATTCTTCCATCCCTCTCCTCCTTCTTTCATCATTTTTAGCTCATTATTCTTAGTTTTTCTTCTTCGCTCAATTTTATCTGCTCTTACATCCATTTTTGTCCTCCTCCCTCCTCTGTCGTCATCCCTTTCTCCTTGTTTCTTCTGCTTTTGTTTCTCTTCCTCCTCCCACATTTTCATCTTCCTTTCCTCTTCTTCCTCTCTCCTCATTCTGATTCTTCAGCTTCTTTTCCCTCTCCTTCCTTTTCCACTTATCTGGCCTACTATTTTCCTACATAGAGCTCATTCCACTAAAACAGCGAACGTCTGTTGCATATCTGACTCACAGTGATGCAGGGGACTGTTCTGTTCTGGTCCTGCTGGACCTGACTGCAGCCTTTGACACTGTTGACCATCACCTGCTAGTGGAGAGGCTGAGAGACTGGGAAGGCCTATCAGGATCTGCTCTAGAGTGGTTCTCCTCTTATCTTTCTGAGCGTTCCTTCTCTGTGGCCATCTCCATGTTTAGGTCCTCCACCACCTCTCTTACCCATGGTGTACCACAAGGATCTATGCTGGGGCCTCTGCTCTTCTTCCTCTATCTGCTCCCTCTTCAGCACATCCTGAGCTCCTTTAAAGGAATCACCTACCATCTTTACGCAGATGACATCCAACTGTACATCTCCTTTAAGCCCCATGAGATGTCTAAGCTGCAGATGTTACACACCTGCTTAGACTCTATCAAAACCTGGATGGCTGGGAGATTTCTACAGCTGAATGAAGATAAGACTGAGATCCTCATCTGTGCTCCAGACAACCTGGTTCCCAAAGTCAGAGAGTCTCTTGGTCAGCTTGCTTCTCACACCAAACCCTCCATCAGGAATCTTGGTGTGACCTTTGACCCAGCTCTCACCCTGGATTCTCAGTTCTCTTGTTCGCTCTTCCTTCTTCCATCTCAGGAACATTGCAAAGCTGAGTCCCATTCTGTCCCGCTCTGAACTCGAGACAGTTCTCCACACCTTCATCTCCTCACGCTTAGACTACTGTAACTCTCTTTTCACGTGTCTGAGCAGAACCTCCCTGAACCGTCTACAGGTGGTTCAGAATGCCTGTGCTCGGCTTCTGACCAAGTCCTCCAAATACACCCACATCACCCCGCTTCTCCTCCAGCTTCACTGGCTGCCAGTCAACTTCAGGGTTTGACTTTAACTTTGCCTTTTTATCTTATTTTTACATCTAATGTTATTTGTGTATTTACATTTTATTTTAAAATCTACTGTTTTATGTTCTTAAACCACATTAAATTGCTTCTGTGTATGAAATGTGCTATACAAATAAAGCTGCCTTGCCTTTTGGTACAGAACCTGAATATTAACTGGTGTGCTATCATGAAGACCAGGAAACCACCAGCTTGGTTCAGAACCAGCCCTGTTCTTTTCTGTTTCAGCTCCAACAAATTCACTTAACTGGGTTAGACAGAAGGATAAGTTTGGGTAAATCTGTCTCTCAGATCCGTCCAGGTATTGACTTACAGCTGGTAAAATAATAAAAGAATGGTTGTTGCTATAGAAACGTATTTCTGTCAATGTAAACAATTTAAACGTTCATTTTGTGGAATTAGAAAACCAACATGTATTTAAAACCAACCACTGGAAGAATAAATCAAACACTTTAACAGAAAATCCTGGTTGGGAATCATGTGTCAACAACAGCCTGAATCCAGATGCTGTAGATATTCGGCCTGATGATCACTGGATTTCTCCTGATTGGAGTGGGAGGTTATCTGGTTTTCTGGAAATTTGGGAAGACGGGAGCGATTGGAGGGCGACCCGCACCCACGGAAAGCACCGTCCGTGTGGAGACTTCTCAGACTGGGTCATTACTCGAGGTGAATCGTAAGCTGGACAATGTTCTAGCTGCGATACCGGTATTAGTGCGCAAAATGGATGTCGTCTCGGAGAGACTCACCGGACGGCATGGACAGGTTTAAAACCCAAAATTGGTTTCACTGGAGGACTGGAAATGATCAGTTTAAAGACTGAAGGCAGAGAGGAAAATTATCTCAGCCTGACCCAAACTAATTCTTGTTGTCTGAATCTGACGCCCTGGTAGCCTTGAGCGGCAAGTAAATAAAACCCCCATGAAGGAATGCAGACAGATGCTGTGTGACTGTGCAGTAGATAAGCGCCGTAGATGGCTGCTCTCGCTGGGGGAAACAGGATCCCAGCCCCCCCCCACCCCGCCTTCCTATTGGAGTCTCATGTTATGTTGTGTTGTCTGAAGTCTGTTGCATATCTGTTGGTGTTTGTTTTGCAGAGCAAAGCTGCCCTCCTGCTGGAGGGTAACTCTGAAGTGCCTTTTTTTCCTCCACCTGAACCAATCCTCATGTAAACCCTCTTATCTCTATTAAGGTAGAGCGATACGAGTTGCGAATGACCACAGTCACCAATTCTTGTCATGTGTCTTGCCCATGTATGTCTGAT